GTGTCCTGAGACAGAAAAACTTCCACTGGGAGCTGAGATTTTTAACTCAAGCCAGAGAAATTTATGGAAAATCTATTACCATATTATTTAGGTATAAGATAAATCAGACAGAGACAGACACAGCAAGTGGATCCTAGAGTCATAAATACAACTTCAAATGGGCAACACCTCATTCTCATGGGACAGACAACACCTTCTGCAGTGTAAGTGGTTATGGTCAATTTACACCCTATGGAAATGATGACCATTTTTGTCCAAGAATTTACTCTGGGTGCTTTACATGCCTTATCTTGTTTAAGTTGTACATCAACCCTACAGGTTACAATCTATCACTTCCATTTTGCATGAGGAAAGATTGAGGCTTAGATGAATTAGTCTGTCTGAATATCAGAGCCCATAAGTAGCAGGATGGGACTCAAATCCACATCTATTGGCCTCTTTTCCATCTGCTAATAGGCCTCCTTATCCCCTGGAAGGCCTGACACCTTATTATGTCTTTCTGCAGCTAGAACAGAGAAAGTAGGGAGAGGTATACTTGTAGTTAAAGGAACAGGCCTACCATAGAGATCTTATGGTCAGAAGGTTAAAGCACGCTGTGGACATAGGCGTCTATGTGGTGATTGAGAGCAAAGAAGGTACCTGAGGGCAGGTGGACCAGCTGTCAGGAGGAAGAACCAGCACCCACAGATGGATTGAGAGAGAAACCTGCAGCTAAACAGGACACATGATGCCTGGGGAACATGCCAAACAGACCTCATGCCCTGCTTGGGGAAGCAAGACTCATTTTTGGTCCCATCAGGTGGTGAAACAGCCACACATACACTGCTGCACTGGGCTGTCTCTGACTCCAGATCCAGGCAGGGCTGAGCCTGTGGGAAATCCCTCCAGTCCCTGAAGGAGGCTGGTGTGGGGAAGGACAGACAACAGGATGAAAAGTATCTGTAATGAAGACAGACTCCACTGGACAGATACAAAGAAATACAGTGGAATCACACAGAATTAGATTATAATGCAAAGGTGCAATTTATAGAGCATCAGTTCAGTTCAGTTCAGTTGCTCAGTCATGTCCAACTCTTTGAGACCCCATGGACTGCAGCACACCAGGCTTCCCTGTCCATCACCAACTCCCAGAGCTTACTCAAACTCATGTCCATCAAGTCAGTGAGGCCATTCAACCATCTCATAAAAGCATAACAGCAAGTAAATCTAGCGGCACAGAACATTCTAGAGCCTCTTGCTCAGTCACAACAGAGATTTGGAAATGCTTGAGTTCAATTTCAAACTGTCAAAGGATATTTCTTGGGAACCACAGATTATCACTCATCAAAAACTGCCCATGGGATAGAAAGGAGGAGGTCATGTTCAGATACAAATCTGAGTCAAGAGGTCTGGGTGAGCCTGAGACTCTGCATGTCTAAGAAGCTCCAGGAGAGGCAGGAGCTGCTGGCCCTGGCACTGCCATCTGAACCACAGGGAATTAGGAAGCTGGTGGGAGAAGGGGGACAATCTGGGAGTGAGGGGAGCAGTTTTTAAGAAAATATTATTTTAAAAAGGAAAAAATTCAGGAAACTAATATTTTGCACATTATAGCAGGGTCTACTAAGCATCTGTACAAATGTATCATCCAAATAATAGCTATGAGAAAAAACAAAGCAAAATCAATCTACCTCGAGAGCTGGAAAATATTTTATTGCCCAGGACTCTCTAAAGTGATCAAATCAACCACAAAATCATCTAAACGAAAAATGCAGCCCATGTTCAGACTCTAACCAGGAAGTCTAGGGTGCCATTTACCTCATGCTGATTTTTTTTTTATGTTTGGCTGCACTGGATTCTGACTGCTTTGCATGAGCTGTCTCCAGTTGTGATGAATGGGAGCTACTCCTGCATTGCATGGGCTTCTCACTGAGGGGGCTTCTGTTGTTGCCGAGCAAAGACTTCAGGAGTTGTGGCACATGGGGTCAGGAGTTGTGGTGCAGGGCTTAGTTACTCTGTAGCATGTGGATTCTTCTCAGACCAAGGATTGAACCAGTCTCTCCTACACTGGCAGGCAAATTCTTATCCACTGCACCACCAGGGAAGTCCTAGTTCCTTATTTTTACTTGCTATTTCTTATGTGAATTAAAATCCTGCATAGTACCTACTATATTTTCCTATTGATTCTAACTTCCAGGAATTGGAACAGAAGAGGAAATGGGAAAAGAGAATAAAGCCCCACTTCTGCTGGGCTGGCTCACTCCCTCGTCCCCTGCCCGAACCCCACCCCCACCCCCCGCCAACAGCCTCTCTCAATCAAATCTAACACCAAAGGGGTGTCCTGGAGTGATGGGCAATGGGACCAGGTGAGTAGAAGAGGAAACCTGACATATACACAAATTGAGTGAAATCACTTCATGAACACGCTTCTTGGGTGTCATCTCCAAAAACAGAAATGAAGCTAACAGTGATACTGAGAGTGGACCAAGGCACAGGTCAAAAGACAAGTTACTTCAGTTATTAATTCAGTCTCCAAATTCACTTTTCCCTCAAACACTTTAGAATCTCAATCATCCTATGATTTTCAGTTTTTAAGAAGGAAGAATAAGAATCTATTATGTTCCTAAGTTGTGCTACAAAGTTTCTTAGATAATTCATATTTTATGGCTTTGGGGGAAATTTAAGACAAGTGCAAGTTAACAGAATTACACTTACAATAGCAAATCTGACAGACACATTATCTGAGAGTAAGTAAATACCACCTACAGTGCTCTTAGGGGCAAGATTGTATCAAGAGCTATGGTTAATGTTTTCCTGACAGAGTAGTTCACCTTTTTCCTGACTTACACTGAAATTGCAAATAATTAGGAGGGAGTTTTTGCCCTGTGACTAACTGAAACTGCTCTTTGGGTAACATTTGGACATTACGTTGAATATTCTTTCATGTTACAAGGGTTTCACTCATTAAATTACAGCTACAGCCATTAGATGAGTCTGGGATGGTTAAGAGTTTTAAAGAGCAGTTCTTTCAGTTATTTACAGAGTTGTCATTTGTGTGTGTGTGTGTGTGTGTGTTGGTTCCTACTTGCTCACACCTGTGTAACACTCACCCTCACAACCAGCAGTCCCTCAGCACCCTCTCTGTGCCCTGCAGAATGCCAATTTCTGGGGACAAATATGAAAACAAGATGCTCCCTGACTTCAAAAAGCTTCAAGGTTCTGTGAGATACAGACCCCAAGTTACGAAGTATGCCACAGGTGCTATCTTTTATCTTAATTATGATAAAATTCACATAACATTAAATTTAACTAACCATTTTTAAGTAGATGGTTTGGTGTCCAGTACATTCACATTGCTATGCAACCAAGCTTGAGAATTTTTATTTTTTGCCTCATAAAACTGAAATTCTTACTCATTAACAAACAACTCCCCATTTCCCCTCCCCCAGTCCCTGGAGACCACTATCCTACTTCCTGTCTTCTTGGATTTGACTACTAAGTGGAATCAGAGCATTCATTCCTTTTGTGTCTGGCTTATTTCATTTCATTTAGCAAGATGTCATCAAGGTTTATCCACAGGTCAGAATTTTCTTCCTTTTTAAGAATGAATAACACTTCATTGTAAGGATTTAGTTCCTTCCAACTTTTGGCTGCTATGAACATAGGTGTACCATAAATGCTATCTTAAAAGAATATATAAGACACTAAGGGTATATTAGTATGCATATATTAGTATATGTACTAATATATAATAATACATACATATGTATTATATATATACTAGTATATATTGGTATATTAAGAATATGTTAGTACATTAAGTATATAGTTTATTAAGTATGTATATTAAATATATATATTAATATATATAAGGGTATAATAAGGGTATATTAAATTGAGGGTCTTGAAGATGCATTAGAGTTGACTCAGAAAATGAGGAGATTTTCACCATCCAGATGACAGAGGGCCTGAGTCTCTGAGGTAGAGGGGCAGCATGTGCACTGGGAACAGGGAGGAAGCGGTGCTTTGAGAGAACCTATATACAATCTGAGTGCAGGTGGGTGTGTATGTCAGACATACTGGCTGCAGAGGGAGGTGAGGAAGAGCTTCCTATCACCTTGTCTGTTCTGGTTTAGTCTCTTCTTCAAGACTCTGTCCTGATCCCAGCTGAGGGCCCCAAGCTGAGTGTGGAAGGAACGTCACCAGCAGACATGGATGCTGGCAAGTCCAGGTCACAAGCCTCTCTGCCATCTCTCATGTGGATCTTCTCTGCTCCCTTCAATTTGCATTTGACTTTGAGCCAATCTCTAGACCCTGCCTCCATCTGAGGCCCTGGTTCCTCACTCCTGACTGGGTCATTATTCAGACTCTTCTCTGGTGGACACAATGTCACCCGACATCCCCTGCTGGAGTAGACTTGAGGCTATGCTATGGTTCTAGCAGCAGCTCAGTTAGCCCAGTAAGGATCAGATCTGTGCTAAAGAAAGAAGCAAATAATAATAATAATAATAAAAAGAAAGAAAGAAGCAGTCTGTGGGGGGAGGGCAGGGGGAAGCTCAGTGTGGGTGAGTGGAGGACAAGGGTGCAGGAAGGGCTAAGTGACAGAGAAGGAGGCTGCAATCAGAGGGCACCGTGGGAGGAAGAGAAGATCTCAGAAATACAAACAAGAAAAAATGGAAAGGAATGAGATATTGGAGAGTTAGGGCCAGGAAGATAAGGCTGACATCCCAGACTTCGTATGAAAAATCAGGTGTCACATATAGTGTCCTAAATAAGGTTAAGATGGAGCCCCGGGTCCCAGCGTCCATTAACCACCATGAGGGAGCTCACAACACAGGGCAAAAACTTCCTAGTATCCCCATTCCATGGTCAGTTTCCAAGAAGGATTCACCTACAATGTCACTGATCTAATCTGCATCCATTAGGAGCAAACAGTCTCCCTGACACACTGACAAGAAAGCCAAGAGCAGACGTGGTGCTCAATCTTTAGCTGGATTTTAAAGTGGCAAATGGCTTAAACTAACCTTTTGTCTTGCATCAATCGATCCTTCTATATACTTCAATACCAGAGGCCCGTCCGACTTATACCTGAAGTTCACAGTCTTAAAGGAAATCACTCCTTTGTTGGGCCAGGATGGCAGTGGACGATTCTCAAGTTCCCAGGGTGCTTCCTTCTCAAGGTCTGTATATTCAATCCCCCTTTCTACTGAAATCATCTGAAACACATATGACATCACATGAGTTACTATCAGAGGGTCTTGTTTATGGATGGTCAGAGACTGTAAATGAAACCTTCTGTTGTCTATGGTTCAGAATATCCCAGGTCTCAGCATCCACAAAGGACAGAGGTAGAAATCTGATGAGGCCTTGGATGATTTGCAAACTTGTTAATCATCTTCAACACTTTTACTTATGACTACTTCCTTCAATTTTATATTAAAACTAAAAGAATTAGATAAATGAATGGTAAAATTTTATTGATCCACCTTTCACATTGGAATAAAAAACAAGAGAATTTTGTCAAAGAAAAGAATATTTATGGACACCAATCAGTATGTGTGGCTACAGAAGGGCCACGTGTTACAGATGAGGAGAAAGGGATGGTCATCAAACCTCATTTTAATAATCAGTCACTTTCTACTCTGTTAGAAGAAAGAAATGGAAAGACTTCATTTTTATTGTTTTCATCCCTTTAGGAGGAAGTACAAATATTCAAAAGTGTATAATTTACATACTGACTAAGGCTTCCTAAACAATCATGACTCCACACCTTTGAGAACACATTCTGAGAGGGATCCTATCCTACCAGGAAGAAGGGCCGCTAGCAGGTGTTCAATACACATGAGAATAAATGATAAAATGGGGGAGGGGTGGAGGAACATAGTAAGTAAATAAATCTCAAAATAGTGGATTCTTTTCTTTTACCAAAAATGAGGAATTGCCCATTAAGAAACAAATATAAACAATCTGCTAAGAAATTAGTTTATATTGTCTCCAGAATTTCAGAACCTCCCTCCTACAGAGACATTTATTGTATGTGAAGACAGTTTGTGATGAATATAAAGCCTTCTGACATGGCATACATATGACTGAGAAAAATACGTATATATGTTATTTTACATTAAACACATGGAACGTGAAAGTGAAAGTCGCTCAGTCATGTCTGACTCTGCAACCCCATGAACTGTAGCCTGCCAGGCTCCTCTGTCCATAGGGATTCTCCAGCAAGAATACTGGAGTGGGTAGCCATCCGCTTCTCCAGGGGATCTTCCCAAACCAAGGACTGATCCTGAGTCCCCTGTGGCTCTGGCATTGCAAGTGGATTCTTTACCATCTGAACAACCAGGGAAGCCCTTAAGTAAATGGAGGAGAATGTAAAAAACATTGTAAAATTATGTAAAAATAACAGTTTTATTATCTTACATAAGATTTGTTTTTATGCCATATAACAGCAAGGAGGCCTGAAAAGGCTAAGAACAGAAAGATAAACATCACCATGTTCTCAGCTTCAGCACTTTGCCTGACGCACCACTGGAACATCCCCGTGAGTGTGAGCGTGAGAGACAGGACCAGGCCAACCTGCCCGAGATCCAAAGCTAAATGAGGAAGAAGAGGAATAAGGTCAGTCTACTTCTCAACCCTTCACACAGGTCCTTCTGTCACTTTACAAAGAAGACTCCTTTATTTTTATGATTTTATTGGTGTATAATTGATTTATAAAGTTGTGTTAGTTTCAGTATAGTGAATTAGTCAGACATATATATATATATAATCTGCTCTTTTTACATTATTTTCCCACACACATCATTACAGAGTATTAAATAGAGTTCCTTGTGCTATACAGTAGGTCCTTTTTAGTTATCTATTTTATGTATAGTAAATACATAAAATTATTATGTATTTATAATATTTATATTATAATATGATTTTAATATTTTTATAATATTTATATTTTATATTATAATATTTTATCTTTTATATAAGATAAAGATATATATGTAAAGGTATTATAATATCATTATAATATTTAAATATTTGCAGGTAATGATAGTATTACTCATACTATTACTTCTGTTGTATGAGACAATAATACAGTAAAAAAAAAAAAAAAACCCATTATAAAGGACTTCCCTGGTGGTCCAATAGCTAAGACTCCAAGCTCCCAATGAACAGGGCCCAGGTCTGATCCCTGGTCAGGGAACTAGACTTCACATGATGCAACTAAGAGCTCACTTGCTGGAACTAAAGTCCTGCCTGTCACAACTAAGACTGAAGATCCCATGTGCCCCAACTAAGACTCAGTACAGCCAAATGAAAAAAGTAAATTTTTTTTAAATATTATGAATTTAGAAAGAACACAAAGTTGTTGTTCAGTCACTAAGTCATGTTTGACTCTGTGACACCATGAACTGCAGCATGCCAGGTTTCCCTGTCCTTCATTATCCCGGAGTTTGCTCAAATTCATGTCCATTGAGTTGGTGATGCTATCTAACCATCTCATCTTCTGCCACTCCCTTGTCCTCCTGCCTTCAATCTTTCCCAGTATCAGAGTCTTTTCTAATGAGTCAGCTCTTTGCATCAGGTGGTCAAAGTATTGGAGCTTCAGCTTCAGCATCAATCCTTCCGGTGAATATTCAGGACTGATTTCCTTCAGGATGGACTAGTTGCATCTCTTTACGAACAGTCCAAGGGACTCTCAAGAGTCATCTCCAACACCACAGCTTGAAAGCATCAATTCTTCAGCCCTCAGCCTTCTTAATTGCCCAATACGTTAATCCATTGACAACTCTTACACGACTACTGGAAAAAAAATAGCTTTCACTATGTGGACTTTGTTGGCAAAGCGATGTCTCTGCTTTTTAATATTCTGTCTAGATTTGTCATAGCTTTCCTTCCAAGAAGCAAACGTCTTTTTGTTCATGGTTGCAGTCACAATTCACAGTGATTTTTTGAACTCAAGAAAATAAAATCTGTCACTGCTTTCAATTAATCCCCAGACAGGCCCAGATGCCATGATCTTAGTTTTCTGAATGTTGAGTTTTAAGCCAGTTTTTTTCACTCTGCTTTTTCACTTTCATCAAGAAGCTCTTTGGTTCCTGTTCACTTTCTGCCATTAGAGTGGTATCATCTGCATATCACAGGTTATTGATATTTCTCCCAGCAATCTTGATTCCAGTTTGTGCTTCATCCAGCCTGGCATTTTGCATGATGTATTCTGCAAATAAGTTAAATAAACAAGATGACAATATGCAGCTTTGTCATACTCCTTTCCCAATTTTGAACCAGTCCATTGTTCCATGTCCAGTTCAAACTTTTTCTTTTTTTTTATTATTTCAGTTTTTCTTCAGAATAGTTTTATTAGTTTGTATAAGGTATGTCAACACTCAACAATTCCTCTCCTACTCTTTATTTATTTTTTTAAAATTTTAATTGGAAGCTAATTACTTTACAATATTGTAGTGGTTTTTGCCATACACTGACATGAGTCAGCCATGGGTGTACGTGTGTTCCCCATTCTGAACCCCCCTCCCACCTCCCTCCCCATCCCATCCCTCTGGGTCATCCCAGTGCACTAGCCCTGAGCACCCTGTCTCATGTATCAAACCTGGACTGGTGATCTGTTTCACATATGATAATATACATGTTTCAATGCTATTCTCTCAAATCATCCCACCCTCACCCTCTCCCACAGAATCCAAAAGACTGTTCTATACATCTGTGTCTCTTTTGCTGTCCCACATTTAGGATTATCATTACCATCTTTCTAAATCCCATATATATGCATTAATATACTGTATTGGTGTTTTTCTTTCTGGCTTACTTCACTCTGTATAATAGGCTCCAGTTTCATCCACTTCATTAACACTGATTCAAATGTATTATTTTTAATGGCAGAGTAATATTCCATTGTGTATATGTACCACAGTTTTCTTATCCATTCATCTGCTGATGGAAATCTAGGTTGCTTCCATGTCCTGGCTATTATAAACAATGCTGTGATGAACATTGGGGTACACGTGTCTCTTTCAGTTCTGGTTTCCTCAGTGTGTATGCCCAGCAGGGGGATTGCTGGGTCATATGGCAGTTCTATTTCCAGTTTTTTAAGGAATCTCCACACTGTTTTCCATAGTGGCTGTACTAATTTGCATTCCCACCAACAGTGTAAGAGGGTTCCCTTTTCTCCACACCCTCTCCAGCATTTATTGCTTGTAGACTTTTGGATAGCAGCCATCCTGACTGGTGTGTAATGGTACCTCATTGTGGTTTTGATTTGCATTTCTCTGATAATGAGTGATGTTGAGCATCTTTTCATGTGTTTGTTAGCCATCTGTATGTGTTCTTTGGAGAAATGTCTGTTTAGTTCTTTGGCCCATTTTTTGATCGGGTCATTTATTTTTCTGGAGTTGAGCTGCAGGAGTTGCTTGTATATTTTTGAGGTTAATTCTTTGTCAGTTGCTTCATTTGCTATTATTTTCTCCCATTCTGAAGGCTGTCTTTTCACCTTGCTTATAGCTTCCTTCATTGTGCAAAAGCTTTTCAGTTTAATTAGGTCCCATTTGTTTATTTTTGCTTTTATTTCCATTACTCTGGGAGGTGGGTCATATAGGATCCTGCTGTGATTTACGTTGGAGAGTGTTTTGCCTATGTTTTCCTCTAGGAGTTTTATAGTTTCTGGTCTTACGTTTAGATCTTTAATCCATTTTGAGTTTATTTTTATGTATGGTGTTAGAAAGTGTTCTAGTTTCATTCTCTTACAAGTGGTTGACCAGTTTTCCCAGCACCACTTGTTAAAGAGATTGTCTTTTCTCTATTGTATATTCATGCCTCCTTTGTCAAAGATAAGGTGTCCATAGGCGCGTGGATTTATCTCTGGGCTTTCTATTTTGTTCCATTGATCTATATCTCTGTCTTTGTGCCAGTACCATACTGTCTTGATGACTGTGGCTTTATAGTAGAGCCTGAAGTCAGGCCGGTTGATTCTTCCAGTTCCATTCTTCTTTCTCAAGATTACTTTGGCTATTCGCGGTTTTTTGCAATCCCTATCAAACTACCAATGGTATTTTTCACAGAACTAGAACAAATAATTTCACAATTTGTATGGAAATACAAACTGTTTCTTCTTGACCTGCATGCAGGTTTCTCAGGAGACAGGTAAGGTGGTCTGGTATTCCTATCTCTTTCAGAATTTGCCACAGTTGTTTGTGATCCACACAGTCAAAGCTTTCACACAGTCAACAAAGCAGATGTTTTTCTGGAATTCCCTTGCTTTCTCTATGATCCAATGAATGTTGGCAATTCAATCTCTGGTTCCTCTGCCTTTTCTAAACCCAGCTTGTACAGATGGAAATTCCTGGTTCATGTACTGTTGAAGTCTTGTTTGAAGGAATTTGAGTATAACCTTACTAGCATGTAGAATGTGTGCCATTGTATGATAGTTTTAACATTTTTGGCATTGCCTTTCTTTGGGATTGGAATGAAAACTGACCTTTTCCAATCCTGTGGCCACTGCTGAGTTTTCCTGAGTTGCTAGTATATTGAGTGTAGCACTTCAACAGAATCATCTTTTAAGATTTTAAATTGCTGAGCTGTAATTCCATTACCTTCACTAACTTTGTTTCTAGTAATGCTTTGAAGTTAAGGCCCACTTGACTTCACACTCCAGGATGTCTTGCTCTAGGTGAGTGACCACACCATCATGGTTATCCAGGTCATTAAGACCTTTTTTGTACAGTTCTTCTATGTATTCTTGTCACCTCTTCCTAATCTCTTCTGCTTCTTTTAGATCCTTACCATTTTTGTCCTTTATCATATTAATCACACCTGGATTGAGATATACTTGTCAGTATAATATAGGTGAGGATGTCATTGTTCAGATTTTTTCCTTATGCTTCAATTATCATTATGTAATTTCACTTTCTATGTCCAATGTAGCTGCAGTTGAAATCACAAAAACAAGGCAATGGGTCCTAAAAGCCAGTGCTTTTAAATCTAAAATATTACTCTCATTTTTCCATTATCAAAGACTGTGATTCAGGGTTATTGCTATGGAATAGTGAGGGATGGTGAATTCTTGCCACACATTCCAACTACTGCTCATCTGGGACCCACACAGCAGTGAGGATACTGTTTTTGCTACAGAGAATCTTTCTCACCCCAGTACACGAGACCCCCTACAACCAATAGATCCAAGCAGCCCAAAAGCTAAAATCTTAAACCTAAGTTGTACAGAGAGCTTACTAGTAAATTGGTTCTCTCCATGCAACTATAGGACACTACCTGGAATGTTCAGAAGGCCATGCTGCTACAGTTGTGTAGACCTCAACCCATTCAAAGAAAGATAAAAAGGTAAAAAATCTTCATGATGACCTACTGTAAACAAACAAAAAAGCAAACAACTCAAAGTAATCTACAGATTCAATGCAATCCCTATCAAATTACCAATGGCATTTTTCACAGAATTAGAACAAAATTTACATTTTGTATGGCAATGCAAAATACCATGAATAGCCAATGTAATCTTGAGAAAAACAAAAAAGAAAAATTAAGCTACGAGAAATCACATACCCTGTCTTTGGACCATACTACAAAGCTACGGTAATTGGAACAGTATGCTACTGCCACCAAAAACAGAAATACAGATCAATGGAACAGGACAGGAAGTCCAGAGATAAACCTATGCACCTAAGGTCACCTATGGCAAAGGACGCAAGAATATACAACAGAAAAAAGACAGTTTCTTCAATAATTGGTACTGGCAAACTCGACAGCTACATGTAAAAGAATAAAATTAGAACACTCCCTAACATCATACACAAAAATAAACTCAAAATGGATTACAGACATAAATGTAAGACTAGACACTACAAAACTCTTAGATGAAAACATAGGGAGAGCTCTCTGTGACACACTTTTTACCCACCTCATAGAGAAATAAAATAAAATATAAACAAATGGGACCCAATTAAGGTTAAAAGCTTTTGTAAAGCAAATAAAACCATAAAAAATACCAAAGACAACCTGCAGAATGGGGGGAAATATTTGCAAATGAAGTGACTGACAAGGGATTACTCTCCAAAATATACAAATAGTTCATGCAGTTCAATATCAAAAAATAAATAAATAAACAAACAACAAAATAAAAAAAATGGGCAGAGGATTAAAACAGAGATTCTCCAAAGAAGACATATAGATGGCCAAAAAGCACATGAAAAGATGATCAACATCTCTAATTATTAGCAAAATGCATATCAAAACTACAGTGAAAAAAAATGGAAGAAAAAAAAAAACTACAGTGAGTTCTCACCTCACATCAGTCAGAATGACCATCATTAAAAAGTCTACAAACAGTAAATACTGAAGATAATGTTGAGAAAAGGGAACCCTCCTCCACTGTTGGTGGGAATGTAAACTGGTAGAGCCACTATGGAGAACAATATGGAGGTGTCTTTAAAAACTAAAAATAGAGCTACCATGTGATCCAGCAATCCCACTCCTGAGCATATATCCAGAGAAAACCATAATTCCAAAAGATACATCCACTCTTATGTTCACTGCAGCACTAGTTACAATGCCCAGACATGGAAGCCACATAAATGTCCATCAAAAGACCAATGGATAAAGAAGATGTGGTGCCATACCTACAATGGAATGTTACCCAGCCATAACAATGGGCGAAATAATGCCATTTGCAGCAACATGGCTGGACTTAGAGATTTTCATACTGAGTGAAGTAAGTCAAACAGAGAAAAAAGAATGTGATATTGCTTATATATGGAATCTAATAAAAGGCTACAAATGAACTTATCTACAAAACAGAAGTAGAGTAACAGATATACAAAATAAACTTATGATTACCATGGGATAAGGGAGGGGAGGGATAAATTGGAAGACTGGGATTGACACATACATACTACTATATATAAAATATTAAAATAGATAACTAATAAGAAACTACTGCAAAGTACAGAGAACTCTGTAATGATCTATATGGGAAAAGAATCTTAAAAAGTGTGGATATATGTATATGTATAGCAGATTTACTTTGCTATATATCAGAAACTAAGACAACAGTGTAAATGAACTATACCCAATAAAACTTAAAATAAAAATGAAAGAATGGCCTGAGCGAGCCAAAGCAGGGGCCCAAGGCACCACAGGTCTGCTGCAACAGGCACATTCATACCTGGTCTTTGCTCCTAAAGATTACTAAAGTCAAAAACAGAAATTCTTTTCTAAAAGACAATTCATTTGAAGTATTAATCAAAATGCAAATTACTAAAAAAATATACATTCACCCCAATGTTTATGGGGCATGGAAAAATAATCTTTAAAAAAGTGGATATATGTATAACAGATTCACTTGGCTATACACCTGAAGCTAACACACTGTAAATCAAGCATATGTCAATCAAATTTTTTTTTAAAAAAGGTGTCAACAAGGACCTACTGTAAATAAATAAGTAAATTTTAAAAAAAGATAAAAGTTCTCATCAAGATACAAATGATTTCACATGGACTACACTGTGGAGTCACATACTTCAGACACTTTAATACAACTCATTAGAACCAAAGAGTATATATTAGACATGAGGTTAAGAGTTTAATAACTACAAACAAAGCTATAAAATGTAAACATACCACAAGTATTCACATCTGTACTTACATTCTGCCAGAATCAGGGCCCCAAATGCAACAACAGTGACAAAGATGGCACAGATGACATCTAGATACACAGCGAGCCATCGGGACGTCGTCAAAAGCAGGAACCAAGCCTCTGGATTTGTGAACCATAATAAGTGTAATATATAAACAGAAAAACCATGTTAGCTGCTTCTCATTTGGTATAGCATTTTCTCAGCTGAGCTACAAAAGATTTTATACAAGGTAGGACAGCAAAGTTACACACCCAAGGAACCTGAAGTTTCCAGAAAACCAGGTTCTAACACAAGACAATGTATGGGACACACAGGAATCAGTCCAGAAAGCATGCATTGAAAATTTTAACCCACAGTTACAGAAATACGATCACAAGAATGAAGATGGAAAGTCGTCTCATCGGTGAATTTCCTGCAGTGCTGGGCCTCAGCGTGAAGATCATCCTCTCACAGAGCTGACTGTTCCCAGTTCTCACACAGCAGAGATCACAGCTCACACTGTTTCCAGCACCTTCTGCCCTCACTACAGGGCCCTACGGTGTGTATTCATAGGAGCCATTGTCTATATGACCATCAGCTAACAGGTTCTGCACATAGCTTTCAAAATGCCATTTTATCTTCTAAATACAGTAATGACTGGAAAGTTTGGCTTGGATTTTATAGACTTAGAGAAAACTCTGAACTTTCTACCTAGGGGGCGAAAAAAAACTTCACTGATACCAAACATAATCAAGTGGGTAGCAAATCAGGAAATTATTTTCCTCAGTCACATCTGCCAACCTGCATGCTCTGAAAAGAGCAAACCACAGTCTGGAGGGCAAGAACAGCCACCAGCTAGTTCTATAAATAAAGTTTTATTGGAACCCAGGTATAGCCATTCACTGATATATTTTCTTTGCCTGTCTTCGTGGTACAACAGCTAAGATGAGCAGTTGCTCATAGACACAGTATAGCACACAGAGTCTACAACATTTTTATTTGGATCTTCGCAAAAAAGAAAAGTTTGCTGGCTCCTGCTCTAAAAAGACAGAAAGCCACAGTGGCGGAAGCACAGTGTAAGCCAGTCAGGGGAGAAAAGCAGGGGTGCGATGGGGAAGAGCAGAACAGAGGAGATGCTGAGAGGAAGGGGTGAGGGAGGCAGATGTGCAGAGGCGGTGAGGGGTGCCACAGAGAGAGATGCAGGCCAAGAAGGCTGCTTGAGAGGGAAGTCAGGCCTCAGAAGGTAGCACATTCCATCCTTTGAAATCATCTCCAGAAAATTACAGACCTGAGTGCAAATCCTGGTATGCATTGAACACTTCCTGAAACCTCTGTCTGGCTCTGTATGCGCGGATGGTCCAAAGTCCCCGCAGAGAAGATATTAAGTGGGATAATACCAGACTCCGAGCTGGGGAAGCAGAGACAGACACATGACAGAGAAAGTCAGGGAGGCTGGGTGTGAGGAAACCACTGCCTCCCAGGCTCTGTGGTCACACGTCCCACCAAAGGGAATCTTTCCTGTGACCCTCAAACTCCTGCTCACACCAATCTTCACTTTAATGACCTGGGAATGAGAGATTCTCTTTGAAATCCCACCTAGATTTAGATAAAGAAATTCGTTACTGGTTCTTTCATCAAGGTCCTCTCAAACACGCCTCCCTCCAAACTCTTCTGGCATCTCTCCAGGTGGAAACTGTTCACAACTTTTTAAAAACATGTTGATTTATAATAATGTGTTAATTTCAGGTACATAGTATAGTCATTCAATTATTTTTTTCTGATTACCTTCCATTACAGGTTATTACAAGATACTGAATAAAATTACCTGTGCTTCACAGTAAATCCTTATCGTTATCTATTTGACATATTAATAGTAGTGTGTCTATTAATCCCATACTTCTAATTTGTTCTGCCCTCCCTCCATTTCCCATTTGGTAACCGTAAGTTTGTGTCCTGTGTCTCTGAGTCTATTTCCATTTTGCATACAGATTCATTTGTATTATTTTTAGATTCCATGTATAAGTGATACCATATTTGTCTTTCTCTGACTTACTTTACTAAGAAATATTTTCTAGATCTATTTGCGTTGCTGCAAATGGCAATATTTCATTCTTTGCCATGGGTGAGTAATTATTGTTCACTAATTTTTGAATCAGTAGCATTCTAAAATTTAATTCCCAGTAGAGTCCTCACCACCCTGAATTTTGATGAACTATCTGAATTTTGTCTCCACTTCAGATGAGTAACCTAAGGGCTGGGATAGAGTCAGGACATCCCTACACTGGAGCAGAGCCAGACGCAGGACAGGGGGAGACGAGTAAGGGAGCGGGCAGTCTGCCGTCTCCCCATCCTGGGCCTCTCCCTGCACCTGCGCCAGGAGCCTCTGTGTGACCGCCCTTGTGCCCACAGGACTCATACAGCCAAGGAGTCTTTGAATAGCCTCGACTTCCACTCTGGGAACCTGATGGATGTTTTCATAACTGCCCTGCTGGATCTCTGAACTGCAGTATGATCTAACACTTACCCCTTTGTATGCTGTTTAGGCAAAGAGCTTAAAGTGACTCAGAGGTGCTTCTGAGCATCCAGTTGTGTGCCTGTGTTCTCATTCCAGCATCCACACTGCTCTCTCTCTTCACTCTATTGACTAATTTTATAGCTTCCTGTAACTTAGTGCTTATAAGAGCAACATAAACTCAGATTGAGCTCATGCTCCAAATAATAAAGGCTAGGGACTCTGTTCAGGCCTTTCCTGAACCCCAGCAAGTGTCCAAAACCACCTCCAGAACTCAGTCTGGAAGCAGGGTGCTCACAGGAATGATGTAGGTGAATTCCAGGCCCCATCACCCTGTCAGGAGGATGCCGAGAGTCCAGCTACAGAGAGCACAGAAAACTCACCAGAACCAGGCTCTTGTTTCCTGAGCAAATGTTGTGATGTCAACACTATTCATCAGAGACAAGGTTTCTGAGCAAGAAGCAGATGTAGACATTGACTGTTTCCCCAGGCAGAGTCCTGGAATGAACTCTCCAGCGTGGCCTCCCTCCCTGCTTTTCCATCAGGAGATCAAAGTGCAGCTGATTCTCTCCAGTGGGGAGGGAGAATGGGGTCAACTTTAGAAACCAGGTGTCACCTCAGCCTTGAACACCAGGGAACTCAAACACCTCATCACCCACCTCACCTCATGCCTAACAGTTACAGGCTGGGGGGATGTGGACCCATGAAAAGTCATCCTGTTCTTTCAAATCTCATTTAGGGCTGAGCAGGATGCCAGAATGCATGAACTGAAGGGTCTGTAAAGAAAATTAGCTAGTACAGGAGCAGAGGGGATGTCAAGGCTCTGGTGCTGTCTTGCCCAAAGTAACATCTTTTTCCCACAAGCACTAGTCCACAAGTCCTGAAGCAGATTATGTCACAGCCATGGTATCAGTCCACAGTCACAGACACATGTAACCCTACAATTCACAGGACTGATGTCTGTGGTTCCCACAACCCTGAGGACACTTGGGGATACACCCCACCAGGACTGTAGATCTTCGCTGGCAAGGGGACCCCGGGCTGACAGCCCTGCTGCCAGGTTATCATTCAAGCTACGTGAGACCTGCTAGTTGTTAAGTTCTTGATTCCCTCATGTTCAAGGTTCCAGTGCCTTTCATCATGGCCAGCAAGTACTTTACAAGCATTGATTCAAGAAATCCTCATGAGAACTCCAGAGACTGAGGGATTAAGAGCACTCACTGCCCAAGATTAACCATATTAACCCACCTAAGTGATAGATCTGGGTGTGAGACCCAACTTTCCAATTCCCAAGGTTGTGCTTTTAATTACAACAGCAGTGTCTCAGAGGGAGAATAATCAGGGTTAAGGATGGCCATGTGTAATGATGTGTATTTTTCTCCAGACTTTGTTATCTATGTGCAAAAACCCCTCAACTCTTACTCAGGTACCATCCAACAGCCTTCACCATTATTGGCCATATTATTAAGCACCCGAGGTTGAACAAAGTACCTGGGAATCTAGCATGAGAACTCCTTAAATCAGCAGACTTGAGTATCCATGGTCCTAATACACCTGACACACATACTAACCCTCCCACAGTAATGCTCATAGCAGACACTGCAGGTTGATCCCAGCACTTTTTCAGCCAGAATTAGGATATGGCTTCATCATTCAGGCACTGCCAAATGCAAAAAGCTCGCTAGAGAAAGGCAGCCAAGTGTCACCCTGGTTTTATGTACTTGTCCATGACTGACCATTGCTATGATCACTTTTGTAAAAATGTGACCCTCAAAACCCCATTGTAATTAGCTTCCAATATGTCATTAAGATAAAAATGTCAACCTAGGCTTCCAGAGGCAGCTAGGCAGTAGGATCTGAAACTAAACCTCAGTGGTCCTTCAGAGCACAAGGCTGGAGCAGGCTTATGCCTTCTGGTCACAGCAGTCAGGTGTCCTTCTTTTTGCTGGTGGCTCCAGCAGGGACCCGAAGATATACCCTCACTCACTCACTCAATCGTGTCTGACTCTTTGGGACCCCATGGACTGTAGCCCCCCTTCTCTGTCCATGGGATTACACAGGCAAGAATACTGGACTGGGTTGCCATTTCCTCTTTCAGGAAATCTTCCCAACCCAGGGATTGAATCCATTTCTCCTGCATCTCCTTCATTGGCAGGCAGATTCTTTTCTCACTGAGCCACCTGGGAAGCCCTAAAATATACTATCAGTTACTATTTAGAGAAAACAGCAGTGTTATTATTTATGGCACAGACCCACCACCTAGACAGAGAACATAGTTCTAATCAACTGGCCACCACATTTGGTTATTTGGGGTGTGGAGGAAGGGGTATCTGAATGGAATTTAGTGTCTAACTTGTTGCAGCCTACTAGGGTGCAAGAAAATCCAAATGTGCCACAGAGATGATGCTAAAGTCCTCAGACTCTCCAGATCAAATATTGAGAAAATCCTGTATTGATTCTTGCAAAAAGCCTCAGGAGGAGCCCTTCTCTCCACTGCTGTATGGATGGGAAATGGCCCTTCCCCAGGCAAAAGTCTCTGTCAAGTGTTCCTTCTGGAACAACCCCTCACTGAATGTACCAGAGAGCTGCTTTTCAGCAGGACCCTTGAATGACCTCATTTCATGGGCAACCTCAAACCATAAACTGACTGAAGCCTTGTCTTCACAGAAGACTAGATGGAGCTCATCATTCCTCTTCTGCCTCCCCAGGTCCTACTATCAACCAAGTCACATCAGCATGTCACACACATCTGAATTACTGCTCTCCATCCATCCAAACACAAAATTAGACTAATGAGATAAATTCAATTATTTCATCATCTGTGATCACTTGTATGATAGAGTGATTAGTCATAAAATGTGATCCCCATCATTCTTTTTTTTTTTTGCTGCATCTTACAGGATCTTAGTTCCCTGACCAGGGGTTGAAGCTGTGTCCCCACAGCAGAAGCACAGAGACTTGACCACAGACCACAGGGAAGTCCCTGTTCCCATTATTCTAAAACTAGGAAGTTGAATGGAGTAATAGACTAAATGCATACTGAACAGATCCCCCTCTTGTATTCTCCTAAGGGATTCTTTCAAGCATTGTTTGCATGAATAGCTCTGAAAAAGGGGGGACCACAAACAGTGTGGTATCACCCCAAATACTAGTAACGATAAAGGGCAAACCTGAAAATAATAAGGCTTATCTTTTCAATAGGGCTTCCCTGGTAGATCAGACAGTAAAGAATCCACCTGCAATGCAGGAGAACTGGCTTCAATCCCTAGGTTGGGAAGATCCTCTGGAGAAGGGAATGGCTATCCACTTCAGTATTTTTGCCTGGAGAATTCAATGGACAGAGGAGCCTGATGGGCTACAGTCCATGGGGTTGCAAAGAGTCAGACAAAACTGAGAGACTAACATGTATCTTTTCAATACACTTAACAACTGCAACTTACTTAAACATGTGAAAAAAAATGTATTTTTCAAAAATATCACTTCTGACATATTTCCTAAGGTCTTCTTTCCTTTTTCAAATCTTTTCTTTTCATTGTCATTTCTGGTAACTTCAGGAGGAGAAACAATGTCTATTTTCCCTCTACATTAGTTCCAACAGGATAAAATATTTTTAAGAAGAGTATTTATAGAGTGGATACTCTGTGTTAAGAAATATATCATGAACAAGACAGAAATGGTCCCTGTCCTCAGGGTGCTCACATCCATCCTCCTTGTGCTAAAATGCAAAGCTGCAGCTGACCTGCCACCAGCTCTATTTGCCTTAAGAACCATGCCGGCCCACAGTGGCCATAAATTTCAATTATATAATGTTGACTTGTGAGAAATTCCAGAAGGCAGAGTCTGCAGAATTTCAGGGGTCTTGTTAATTATGGCATAAATATAAGCCAGCCTGCACTGCCATCCCAACCTGAGAGCCCCGGTACTCACTTGTACATTCTAAGCGTTTCACATCTCGTGATGTCCTTAAGAAGTACCACTGGAGGACAAAGAAAATGATGCCAAGAGGAATCACAGGTATAGCAATCCAAGGAACCACAGCCACCATCACGCCCACCACGCCAATCACAAGAAGAAATGTCTGAAATAGCAAAAATAGATACAGAGGCATTCCTATGAAGGGTACTTTTCAAAGATAAACTGTAATGGTTTGTTTTGTTGGGATTAAACTCCTTTCCTCAAAAAGACTTGTTGGGACAGCAGGGAATGCTTTCCCTTCCAAAGAAATAAAATTATAGGTAGACCTCATGATATCTAGTGCATATGCCAAACACTCTGATAAGAACTTTCTAGGTATCAGCTCTTGTGATACACTCAGTAGCCCCATGAGGCAGGCATTACTACTTTTAACAGAGAGAATACCTGAGGCTCAGAGAGTAGGAGCTGAATCCCAAACTATCAGGAGTCAACCAGTGTTAGTAGACAGATGAGCAAGCAGGCAGTACAGGTGAGAAATCGAGATACCTCAGCGATGCATGGAGGGATAAAGAAGTGGTACAAATTCAGTGTTCAGAAAAGTCGGACAAAATTTAAATGTTGACCTTCAGGACACAGGAATTCCTCTTTCTAGATTTTCTATACATAGTTGATATTTACTGAGTGCTGACTGTATACAGGACTATACCTTCAAACCTTCAAATATATTAACTCATTAATCCTTACAATCCTTTATCTAGTAAGAGTATTATCTCATTTTACAGATGGAGACAGTGAGGCACAGGGAAAGGAAAAGCAACTTGACAGAGACTGAAAAGTCTAAGTCACGAAGCCAGGAAGCTCATGTCATGAGCCTTTATGACATATTTAAGCTTGCCCCCAACATACAGCCATCTTTCTATAATTATACTAAGTATTTAAAATGCCCATTCCAAAAGGCTAGTAATTATAACAACAGCAGATGCCATTTACTAGGTGTTTACTGTATGTAAGACACTGTGCTAAGAGTTCCATGAGCACTCTCTTAATCATCATATTATCCCATGAGATGATTTTATCTTGGGAAATGATCTCGGTCAAAAAAAGAGAGATGGTAGAATAGAAATGGCACCCCACTCCAGTACTCTTGCCTGGAAAATCCCATGGACTGAGGAGCCTGGTAGGCTGCAGTCCATGGGGTCGCAAAGTGTTGGACATGACTGAGCGACTTCACTTTCACTTTTCACTTTTATGCATTGGAGAAGGAAATGGCAACCCACTGCAGTGTTCTTGCCTGGAGAATCCCAGGGATGGGGTCTCACAGAGTCGGACACGACTGAAGTGACTTAGCAGTAGCAGCAGCAGAATAGAAAACAAAATCATTGGTTGGCGATGATTTAAGCATCCATCTTTATCAGGAGAAGGATGATATCCTTACTTTTTAAGAATGCAACCAACATTTAGTGTCTGCTTGCTATGACAGTGGGGTGGGGTGGTGGGGATGTGCAGATTCAGTCTGGTCCAAGGCCTCCAAAGTTTGTGATCTCAGGTGGATGTGAATTAATGGTGATCGGCACAAGGCAGAGTGCTGGGGAAACACAGTGAAGAATTCAGGAACATTTTTAGAAAATTCTAAGAGACTTAAGGATGAATTTTATAGACTGCTTTAACAAATAGACCCTGGAAAAGGGAACAGCTACCCACTCCAGTATTCTGGCCTGGAGAATTCACAGTCGGACACAACCGAGCAACTTTCACTTTCACTTTAACAAATAGAAAGACTGTCAAGAATAACTTGCAGGCAGTAACTAGAATTGATGGTACTTTTGACCAAAAAGGAGCTGGGATGAGAAGGTTTGATGCCTTCTGAGTTAACACTGGTTGTTCTGTGTCTTCTCAGCACCAGCACCTGCACCCTGTGCTCACTAGCCAGGGCCTCCCCACCTTGTCACCCAGGGCTGCTGGCCAAGGCGCATCGCTGAGGGATGGGTAGGCGGGGTAAAATGTTTGCATCATAGAGACTTGTATCATTTCACAGTTCTTCCAGATTGAGTTATCTCGGAGGATCTTCACACCTATCTTGTGAATGAGAAAAGTAAGAACTTCATTTTCATTTTCAGATACAACATAAAGATGGGAGGGTAAGTGACTGTCCTACATTTTTCCAGGAAGGATTGCAGGTCAAGGAGAAAGGCAGGAGTGGTTTGTACTCAGGGAATCCTAGAGCCACAGCTGCAGGCAGGAGGAGCCTGGAAGGAAGAAGAAATGTCCAGAACCGTGATTGTGTCCATGAGCCCTTGGGAACCAAACTCTATTATCTCGATGGAGACCCATGTGCTTTTCTTGTTTCTCCCACACTTGCCGTGGTATTGAAATAAAACACAGAGTGAAGAGGATGGGATCCCAAAGCATTACATTCCAGTTGTAAGTGGAGAAAAATAGGCCTGCCTGACCTCTCTCCTATTAGACCTACAGATCTATGTCTGGTCTTAAGTCACTTGACTTGCCATTGTTGGTTGTCAAAAAACCCTGCTAAAACATCAATAAAAAAGTCCAAATTACAGTTTTTTAGCAGACTCACATTATTTTATGGCCAACATTCATCAGTTTCAATAATCTGGCTCTCCCCATGTGAGGGCCTTTTAAGACTAAACACAGCCTGGCAGATAGCCTGGGAACTAAAGGTAAGGAAGTAGAGGTATCAAAATGAAGGGCTTCACAGGAACTGAGCCAATGCATTTTCCTTAGGTGCCCATTTTTTTTTCCCATTGAAGTCCCATTATTAATGCTCTCAGACACTCTGAAGTTAGGTCACGTCCTTTAGATTTCATTCCCCTAAATTCTGAAGCAATTCAAAGAGGATGCCTCTAACACCTACTTATGGGTAATACTATAGCCACCCTCATTGTGGATTGAATATTATATATATATAAACAGTGTAAGGGTTTACAGTTATATGTATACACATTTGTGAATCTTTAATGCCAGCTATCTCAAACCCTTTACAGAAGTTGGCAGATGAAAATAGTATCTAAGCAAAAATCATTTGAAGAAGGAAACAAAAGATTCTTGTGTGCAATACACATCCCTTCCTTAAAGCCAACCTCATTTCTTTCTCCTATATTCTCAAGAATTCCAAAAAGTTCAGATCAAGTGACACACAAAATTCCCCCCATCTGGTTTGACTTCAGGCCCAGTTGATGGGCCACATCATCATGGCCAGTGCTTCTGAACCTCTATCTCACAGGCACAGAGACAAGGATGGGCCTACAGAAAGAAGCATATTGTCCCAGAAGCAAGTGACTCAAGTCCTGATGCCCCCCAAATAAGGAGAGTCATTATTTTTATATATTTCCCATTTGGAGCACATCATTTGGGAAATTCTTCCCAAAGTCTATGAATCCACATGAAAAAATATTTTAAAAATCTTAGATGAAATCTTCAACTTGAAAGAAAATGGTGATTTTTCACAATTCAGAAAAATTCTTTAGTTTGTGGAGAATGACAGCCTATACCTGGAGGGGAAATTCCACCAGCTCAGTATTGTGCTGAGACAGGGCTTAGGACAAACCTTCCTGAATATTATTAACAGGGATGGTAAGACTCTACACCCACTCACAGTCTCAGTAAAATCTGGGATATACCAGAAACATAAAAGGATGGTGGTAGGAAATAAAAGGTAATGAAATAAAGTGCTAAACAGATCAAGCATAACAAACAGAAACTCTAACTCATCATCACCACCCTCCAGTGTGCTTTTCATGCTAGCAGCCAGGAGAGGAGGGGTGAGGTATTCACAGATTTATGAGTCCCCCAGACATTAAGAATCTCATGAAGTTGAACCCTAACAGACCACTCATTCTAACCACTAGGACAGTTTAGTATTATCTAGAGACATATCAGAGCAGGTGCTACTTTTCCTAGATGTGGTGATGATGTCACACATACCAAAGTGACTGTGGCTTTTCTTTGATCACAGTGAAAACTGTATCAGACAATCATGCTTGTCTATTTTGTTTGAAGATGCACTTTTAAAATAATATGATCAATAAATTTCATGTCTACTACAACTTTTGTCCTCTCTGTATTATCCTCCCCACTCTAGGTCTTCCAAAGATTGATAAACTTAAGGACATGGCAGTAAGCAACATCTTTTGAGATGTTTCTTTCCTTTTTAAATTTTTTTAAAGAGATGTTTCTTTTCTTATTCCATATCTTCTTTCTCTTTCAAGTTATCCTTTTTCTTAGTGAAGACTTACTGTTTTGACACTCCTAAGTATTTGTGGGAGACTAAGGGAAAAAGTGATGGACCTCTGAATCAAAAAAACCAAACCAGATTATTCAATATAGTCCAAAGAGAAGAATAATTTGACATTTTCTATTTCATGCACCATAAACTGGTATATTGATGCCAATGGAAGGATAAAATCTAGATTTTGTAAATACTTGAATCTTAGGAAATTCAACTGTGTCCACTCCAGGTTGGCATTCTTGGTGGAAGCAAGCAGCCTGGTTAGAATGTCAGGATGACTAAGGCAGAGAACATGTCACCACCACCTATGGAAGGAAGTCCCATGAGCACCTTTCTTCCTATGAAAGGATACTGCACTGTGGGCAGCTGTTTATGACAAGCCACACTGGCATCTAAATGAATTGTAAATGAAATATATAAAAAAGCAGCAAAGAAAAGAAAATAATGCTTGTGAAAATGTTAATGGTCTTGTTTAAAACCCTATCCAACCAAAAACAATTGAAAAATAAGACATTGTTTTATTGCTAGAGGCCATGACAAGTTTTCTCACAACACAGAAATTTCACAATTCTCTAAATCTAGCCAACAAGCAAAGAAGTGATGGTCACCCCATGCTCTCAAATATCAATTATGGTTGACATTTTATAAGACTTGCCATGAGTCCCAACCTCAAGTATTTCACAGGCTTTATGTAATCTCATTCTTACATTAATATGAGGAGGGATTATCCTCTCTGTTTACAAAGCAGGAAACTTATACTTAAAGAGGTCTGTTGATTTGCCCAAATTTAAGTAATTCAGTCATTATGACCCCAAGTCTTTTAATTTCTGCCTGATACTGCATCACATATAGAGATAAAATTCACATTCTAAAAATTAATATTTAAATAAACTCCTCTTTTATATATTTCACCT